TTTATATTTAAGGAGAGGAAATTACGCATGCCACAGTTCTTCGCCTGACAACGCCACGCCATTGCGACTTCTTACGGGCAAATACATGGGCCTGCACTGGTAATGGCTAAGTCAACAGCGGTAAAGGTGCTGGTAGTGGCTGAATCAGCGGGGCCGTCCCGAAAACACGTGCTGCTGCCGCCACCACCCCCTCCACCTCTCCCTTCCTCCGCCCCTGCGCCTCTGTCCGATTCCCTCCCCTCCGCCCTCCCGACCGGCGCGGCGGCAGAGGCTCGGGTCTAGAGTTGCAAAATTTCCCTACCGCACTACCGGCATGCCGGTAATTTTTCACTACCGCAGGTTTTTCCGTGGTATTTGGCATGTCCTGCCGGTAGCATGCCGGTATTTTTGATTTTGCATAAAAAATCAGCATATGATTTAAACTTTGGACACTAAGAGGCTATTGAATGTAATAACAGCAATCTTAGCCACTGCAAAATACATTTTGTGGTAGAAGTTCCATTGCTAAGGGTAATTGTACACATGAACCTCAGCACTTAACAGCTCTGCTTTGGCTCTAATAAGAATTGTCAAGAATCTACTGTGGTCTATCAAAGGAAGAATACTCATTCATGTTGCAAAAGCACAACCAATTAGTAAGTCTAATGGTAGGTAATAGGTATAATACAATAAAATAAATTAATGTTAATGGCAACATTCCCTAGGCAAAAGGCAGAATCAAAACAACACAAAACACATTGTTTGGAAACTGGCCTTGAGTCCTGAGATGTGGTCTGAGATACTCTACAAAGAATTTGACACTGAAAATCCAGCTGAAAAGGCAGGTGTTAGGAAGCCCTGAGCCTAACTTTGGTCCCAAAATGAAATGAAAATGAATTAAACTGGCATTTTGTTTTATCTTTACAAGAAAACACAACATGCAGACGAAATGAATACAAAGTGGCGCAATATGATCAGCTGATCAAGCAACCAAGGATTGACTTTTAAGATCCTCTGTCCCCTAAAAAAAGGATGTAAGCTGATGACGTAATATTTATTCATATGCCCTTTTGGTCGAATTACTCAAGAGAAGTGGATTTTCTTGTAGTGAATAACACTCACAGTTTCGATTTTATTGGAATTTTTTATCGTGTTGGATGATTTTTATCAATAAAATCATTCAGGAGGCAGTAGTTTGCAGTCCTAAAACTTTTTTTTGCAGTGTTTTAATCAGCTGGTTAAAAACTGTGTTATGGCGCATCTGTTTCGAAATCCTTTATAACCTCGTGTTTGTTCCCACGTTTGAGATGGGAGAGGATATTATATCGTTTTTATACATATTATTTGGGGACTTCTCAGGACAAGTGAGCTATTGACACATATTTTTACATGATTCGTATCTTACTCACGAGCCAACAAGCCATGGCGGATAGGAAAAAGCAGATGTTGATCTCGCTTCCTCAGTTAGGAACATGGCCAAATCTGTAGTTTTTTATATTGTGATTTATGACTAGCTATAGTTCGTTTTAGGGTAATGTGGAGAATAAGAACGCTTGTGGTAAATGTGATTGCTGCTCACTGTACAGTCTCCAGAAACACATTTCAGTAATTCAAGTTCTTTTTGACCTTGCTTTTTTGATGAATGTGTTAATATTTTTTGTAGGCAATACCTCTTTGATTACAGGTGATATTTTAACAGCTGTTAACTGGAATTGAGTTTCAAAATTGTAGTATTTGTGGGGCCAACTCAGTCAAAATCAGGCTGCTGGAGTTTTGACTGGACAATGGGTGGCTGCTGGGTGGGGCGGTTACTGAAATTGCCAAAATGTGGCATCTCATGTAGGGGTAAGCCAGAATCAAGAATGCAGGTTTTTTAGTATGCCGGTAATTTGGCGGTGTTTTTGCTTGGGGCGTGGTAACATGCCGGTATCCCAGAAAATTTTTGTGGGGCGGGGCGGTGCCGGTAGCAGCCCATTGGGAAAACTTTGCAACTCTACTCGGGTCCAGCCTTCGCGCCCAGCGGGAGACGGTGCCCGAACCGTGTTTTGAAGTCGATTCTCCAGTTAATGACGACTTGCCCGGCCGGCTCTGGGACGAGATGTGTTTGTCCAGGTGACGTGTGCCCTGGTGGATCTCACAATGGCCGAACCTTTCAGCGGGTTCCGTTTTTTTTTTTGGGGGGGGGGGGTTCGTTTGTTCTGCGTCTCAGGATGGTGGGAAGCCGAAAGGAGAGAGGGACGCGAAGAGAGAAGAGAGGTCACCAGACGGTGGGCTGGGCTCGAGAGGACACTGCGGCTAAACATTGAAAAATAATGCAAACGATGAAGCGATGAAAATGAATTGACATCAGGCGACAAAAATTGTTATCGGTAGCTTTTTCAGTGTCCTTTTTTATAAATTTTTGTCCTATTTAATTTATTTGGTCCCAGTGCACTTACACCTGCCAAAGGTTACACCTGCCAATCGTATTCAACTGACTAGCTAGTTCACCGTTGTAACGACGAGATATTAACCCTATTAGTGGCAGGCTCCTGGCTACCCCATATTAGTGGCAGGGGGGGCTGTTTACGACCCCCCCCCCCTTGATATCTCGAGATCTAACCGGCCGATTTTCAAAATTCAAACGGCATTCCATTTGGCTCAACGAGATCTATATTTCTAAAAAAAAAATAAAAAAATGTCAATAGGGGGGTAGAGGGGGGTAAAAACGGGCAAATTGCAGATAGATTTTAGACTGTTTATCACGGCCAGGTTTCTGAACCAATCTTAACGCAACTTTTGCCGATCGATAGAGAATGAACCAGGAATTCACATGGATCCTAAAAATATGCATTTTCAAAAATCATAGGCGGATACAGATCAATGAGATTGGGGGTACACAAAAAGTATAGTAAATAAGGTTTTTGTTGGTACTGTTTCTAAAAAGGGTGGCAATGGTCTTGTTATGTTACAATTTTCTTATGAGAGAACGACTAAAATTGTATTGGTCATGCATAGGCGGTGTCAGGGCACCTATGTTGGGAGGTAAAAAATAACCCCCCTTTTTGGACGCCTGGATCCGCCTATTATAGCAAAAACGTGTCAAAAGAGGATGCACAATAACTTTGTATATGTTATCACATGATACCTTTCATTCACTGTTCGTAAAACTGGTGCAGCATCGTGATCTTCGCCCAAATGACTCGCTTCACGAATAGGACCCCCCAATTCCCAGTGCTCTGGAGCCGCCCCTGGTAAAGTTATGAACTTGAAATTTTCAGGGAATGTGCCCAATTTAGTTTTAGGAAAAGTCAGAAAATTTCAGCATCGTAGCTTCAGCGGTTTCGGAGATATTCCCGAAAAACCTGAGGGGTGGATAAAAACAACCCCCTGCCACTAATAGGGTTAAGCATATCAATAGAATTAACAACATAAAATAAGTGCTATCTTAGGATGAACTCAGCCAACTCGAATCATCCACTATCATACATACGATCCTGATATGCTAAGATCTCACCCCTGCCAGCGCCCTCTCCCGAACTTGGCCCAGTGAATCAGATCATTAGCCTCCGATCAAGCGCCCCGAGCGGGGAGAATGTCGGTCAGCGTTTTACGCAGCCCACCTCGGTCGGTCATCAACCACCGTAGCCTTCCGGTCGGAGCACGACAGACACGATCCGGGGCACAGCGGGAGGTAGCTCTGACGCAGCCGAGACGAAATGTGACGCAGCGACGCGCAGAGGAGTGGGATGTGACGCAGAGGGACGAAAAGTGACGCACAGGGGTGACATGTAACGTAGCCAGCGCAAAAGGGAGCTGCAGATAGCAGGAGATACAGCAGGCGAAATTGGACACAGGTGGGAGCTAACAGAGAAAAGTGCAAAGTGGTCAGATCAGATGCAAAAATGACGGCTTCTGGGCCCCGTCACTGACAACGTGGCTTTGCAATTGCCTCACCAGTTCTTTTGTTGCCTACTTGACTCCGTTACTGCCTACCAGACTCCAATACCGTCTAACGGAGCCCTCCACTGCCCGCCGAGATTTGGCCTGTGCTACCAACACTAGGCACTGGTGCACTTCTGCTCTCTCGGCAGGCTCGTAAAAGGAGCCGACTTTGAACGTGGCCAGCGCCGACCGCCGGTGGCTTCCCCCGGGGCATACGGAGGCTGCTCGGTATGGTAATCACTGCTCTATACCGCCGACCTGATAACACTGCGGGCCGTGCAGCGGAGGCAGGATTTCAGAGGGTCCAGCTATGTGGATGAGAGGTATCGAGGGAGCCGTAAACGGTTACTGGAAAACAGATTGAGCCGGTTTCTGGAAACAGTCTTTCAGTGATGGACCGGTCGACTGCTTTGAGCGGTCAAGGATAGAACAATGTGAAGCTTCACAACTAGCAGGCTAGGAAGCAAGACCGGAGATTTAGCAAGATTATAAGTCAGTTGGTAACACCTGCATCGTTCGTCACTGCGGCGAGACGGCTGTCTGTTCGAATACCGCCGACATTCTTGAGCCGTCCGCCAATTAAAATGTTTTTATCAGGTACAGCGCTGAGGTATGCGATGAGCTGAAGATCAGAATCCACCTCTGCCACCCAATGTGCTCGCCAAGTGTGGTGCCTCCTTGCATCTTCGACGGCGATAAAGGTTTCTCCACCTTACTCCCGTCCTCAATTTGGGAATAACATTATATCGTTTAGCCACGGGTTTAGTTAGTTAAATGCAGCCGCCGCGCTGGTAGGTTTGGTGAAGTGTCGTTTACTCATACGTTCCGAGTGTGTATAAGTTACCCTCATATTTTAATAGTAGACAGTAGTAATTTGCTAGTAAGAGCTTACTAGGCATCCGTATGTTCTTATGCTAAAGCATGATCCTTTACCATATGCTTTCAGTGTTACCTATATTCCCTAAAAAGAATCACCATCTCCATACCACTCCACCACGCAAATCTCCCTAATAACCGATGTCCCGCATTCAATCACCCCCACCCAGCCACCAAATCACCTTCAGCCACCCGCCGATCCCCTCGGGCTGATTCCTTACCTTGCAGGGCCGGTTTGGGCCGCGGCGGCGGCAGCGGCGCGGTGGCGGCGGGCGGCGCGGCTGGCGCACCAGGGCCGGATGGCGGCTGGGCGGCGGCCGGCGGCAGCGGTGGGGGGCTCACGTGCAGCCGAGAGCGGAGGGTGACCAGCTCGGAACTGAGCGAGCGCAGACGCTGGTGCAGGGTGGCCGCCTCGTTAGATGAGGCTGTGTCTGAAATGGGGCAGAGAGGTGATATTAGTGAGACAGTCTGAAAATTACAAGGGTGTAAGAGAAGCACCTGTCTGAAACCCATCTGACACACAAAGGTCATGTAAGAAAATAGCTGTAAATGTTGGGAGACAAGGATCCATTTCAGAGGACACATTGGAACTCACTTGAGACAAGGTGGAACTCACTTGAGAGGACACATTGATAACGTTCGACTTGCCAGTGAAGATAACAGTCAATATTTCATTATTTGGTGGATTTTTTTACAAAATAAAAATGTAGTAAAAGGTTACACCTACTTAACAAAATTTTAAAGCCATCTATCACTAACGATATGATTGACAAGACAGACCCTAGTTTGCTCTCAAAATGTGCGTTTTTCCTTTTCGGTAATCCATCACACGCACGTCGTTTCACGTTGCCTGTCACTCAGTTACTTAACAGAGGCTACAGGGGCTAGCTGAGTCACTTTTTCACGCGACCTCCACAGTGGCAGCCCCGTCTCCCTTTGCTGATGGTTCGCCCTCCCGTCCAACACCCACCCTATCCCTAGCCATAAAACCGCTGCCGTAAAACTGCCAGCACCTCTGCGCGGCGTATCGCCGACTGTGATAAAGGGATTTGGCTCCGAGCTGTCGGCGATACGATATCTGTCCCAGCACTGGCCCTGTAATACTGAGATGGTTACCGACGGTGGCTGGTGCCAAATCCGTGACGTCGTTAAGAAAAATGTGACGTAACTGGAAGACAAAATGTTACACATAGAGATGATGTAGGCTCACCCTGTTTCTAGATGCCTTCCTAGCTCGAACCACATGTTACATCGACAGACTTTGATTGGTTTTCGCTGCTTCCTTAACCCGCGCCCTGCTGGGGGGGGTGTTTGAACACCCCCCTTGTGGTTTTTCGCGAATATCTCAAAAACGGCGGCGCGGAGCGCCGCCGTTTTTGGTACACCTTACCATACATCAATTCTACACATGTTGTGAAAATTTCAGACCAAGGTCATTCAAGGTCAGGTCACCAGGTCACTTGAAGTGACCTCACCTCATAAAAACTTTCAATGTCTGTCATAGCTACACCGAGTGACCGATCGCTTTGAAACTTTCAGCGATTGCTAAGAGCAGTAGCATGTACAAAATGTATATCTCAGAATTTTTATATCGATGACCTAAGGTCAGGTCAATTTTGCGACCTCCCCATTATAAGTCAATGGGAGAAAATTGAAATGCGCCTCTTTTGGATGAAAGACATTATAAACACTCCCAAACACCGAATTACAAGTGGTTTAGACACACTGAACTTGAAAATGGTGTCCGTGACCCTTGTTTATGCCCTGAGGTCATCTTAGGTCACGAATGGTATCTAACAGTTTTTCGCAAATAACTTTTGATAGAGGCATGCTAGAGCGATGAAAACGCCTTAGATGTGTTCAGCTCGACGATACGGATCGACTGATATGCAACATGACCCTTTCCGGTCAGGTCATGACCTTGACCTGAGGTCAAATTTTCAAGTTGACCTTTCAAGGTCAAGTCATAGTTCATTCGATGCGTTTTGACGAGAGGAACACGATGCCGGTAAAAGTAAGCTCGTACAAGGCTTGGATCAAAAGTTATTGCAGAAAAACTGTTTTCGAAAAAATCGGCTATTTTTGCAGTTTTTGCCCCCTGCAGGCAAAACCGTTGACGTTAGGTCAAATCTGAGAAGTTACTCAGAAAGGGCGTTAATAGGGCTATCGAATGCGCTTTTCCGCGGCGCTGTAGCTCTATTGGTTCCCGAGTTATGCGTTGGCTTCTTGGAAATTTTCGACATTCGACCTGGAAATCGGCGAAATTTTGCCTTCAATGACCTCTGGTGACCTGACCTTTGACCTGACCAAAAAAATGACCGAAGTGATTTCGTCATTATTTTTGACGCTCTTTCGAACGCCGCCTTCCGCGTATCGCTACGTGGCCCAGGAGCCGAGTTACAAGGGGGGGTGTTCAAACACCCCCCCCCCCCAGCAGGGCGTGGAAATCCAGGACCCCCAGCAGGGCGCGGGTTAATCCACAGTAGTGCATCCCTACCATCGCATCCCATTGTACTCCTGCAATCCAATCCGTCCCATCCCACCACGCTCCAGCATCCCTCCAATCGCACCGCCTGCTACGCTCGCCGATATTCTGCTGTCCGGTTCCTCAGCTTCATCTTTCCCCGCGACAGGTGTGAGATTGTCCACGTGCGGCGTCCCACGCCCCCCACGCCGCTCCCACGGTTCTTTGGAGCCGCGTCAGCCGAGGCAGGCACTGATCCCACCGAGCTAGCTTGTGGCGCAACCGACCGAACGCAGGGATTGGAAGCGTGAAGTTGTGGGGGTGGAAAGAAAAATGGTAAGAATGTATCAGAATAAAAAGGGTGACAGAGGATTTGAAGAAAAAAAAGAATAAGAAACACACAAAGCTCAACGTTTGGTGTTAGTGTTAGTCATCGAGCAATGTGCGTGTCTAGATAACATCTGAATCACCGCAGCATCGTTAACAATTAAAAAAACTTAAAAAATAATCGGATTTATATGTTCAAAAGTAGAGCCGTTTACTGTCGAAAGTAACGTTCAGGTGCGGAGAGTTACGACTACTGCGACGCCATCGTGCAGTAGTCGCGCCGTGAGACAGAAATATCTCAACGCACAAGAGGTGGATGTCCCCACTGCGTACCCAGAACCTCCGCAACCTATCTCCTACATCTGTGTTCTCCGAGACAGTCGTCCCCTACCGCGCGTCACTTTAGATACAACCACTCCTGTGTTTGAAGTCCACCGTCTCTCTATCTCCAACGATGCATATCTGTCGTCACATCACTGGAAGTCAGCCGGGTGAAGAACCACGCGGCTGTATGCGCAGCCCTGCGACCCATCTCAGCGCCAAGGGTCATCGGAATTCCAAGAAGTGAGGGGAGGACGGCGGCCAACCGGTTGTAACACCGCCACTTGTGAGGCGCAGGGGAGGGGATGTAGGACCGGTCACAGACAGCGACTCCAGGAAACCGGCTCCTGGGAGGTGTCTGTCTGTGTGTCTGTGTGTCTGGCTGGCTGGCTGGCTGGCTGGCTGGCTGGCTATCTGTCTGACTGTCTGTCCGACTGTCTGCCCGACTGTCTGTCCGTCTGTCTGTCTTTTCGTCTGCGGGTCGGTCTGTCTGTCATTCAGACCGGCCTAAGCTCTCATTAGCAGCATTCGGGTAATATATTCTGGGAAACTGCAATAGGGGAGAATCGGGAATGTGTATGTAGCCAGTAGGGTGCTGGAAGTGGCAGCACCTGTAATTGAAAAGCATTTCCTGGCACACAATCTGTCCTAGCTGTGCTGATCTAGTTAAGAGTAAAACAAGTACAAGTTGCGGTTCGTAGACATAGCTTTCTGAATGAAAGCTTCAATGCTTCCGTTTACGTGCATGCATAGCATGCCGCATGGTGCACTGCCATCAATGAGATATTTCCGGGGCATGGCATGCAGGCTTGTTCGAAAGGAATAGATTGTGCAATGCTGAGCATTTGAGCAATGTTCATCAAACAAGTTCCCATTGTGCGAACAGTAACAGTCCAGCGGCTGTAAAAGATACAAAGACAGTGGAAAAGTGTGACAACTGCTAGCACTGTCTTCGTAAGCTCAAACCATTTACAGCACGTTATCAACAGCCTTTTGGATGCAGCAATGCATTTGTCCAGGGCGCATCGCCGACGCGGCAATTGGCATGACATTAGTTCAACGACAAGTCAGCGGCGTTGTCCCTCCCCCAAGTGACTTTACAGATGAAGGCGATGTTCCTCGCATGACGTCACGTTTACCGCAACTCGGTTGTCACGGCCGTCAGTTCTAAGTCAGCACCCCCGCTGTATTGTTGACGCGTGGGCTTTCCTTGCAGGAAGCCGTTCACCTGGGTGGCGTGAGGTCACAGAAAAATGGCCACCACGGCGCTTACAATGGCGTTACGACAGCGGCAGCGCCGGTGTTTAAGTAGCTTTTGTTCATTCACTGGCTTTATGTGGGGGCCAGTTCGTGGCCGAGAAACCTCTGTTTGATGGAAGAGATGAGATGATATCTCTGAAACGGTATGTCAATTCTCTAACTGAAGCCCACACTGAAATGTCTCTTGAATGAAACACAAACTCATTGACAGTTAAATTCCACTATCAATGTGGAATTTGATGAAACATTTCCTCGTTATCTTGATAGCTTTTTAGCCAGTCTGAGAACTCAACCTCAGTCTAGTCACCACATTGCTGGTCAGTCACTGATGCGTCTAACCGCATCCGCATACTCCTCTCCCGCAGAACCGACCCGACCCGAGACGCTCTCCCCGTGTGGGGACTGGTCCCGCTTCCGTTCAGGGGTTATTTTTATAATTCATACACAGTCCCTGTGCAATGCAGCTGCCGGCTCGTTACTTACAGCATCACCATTCCTACAGGACAAGCCACAGGTCTTGCTTTCAAATTTCAGCTACATCATAAATGTCTTCAGCCTGAATCATGTGTTACAACTTCTACTCAAATGCCAACAATTTTATTTATCATTTACCGAGCAGCATGCGTCTGTAACACAACACTAATACTCCTCTCGCCACACCGCTCCTCGGCGGCAGCTGCGGCGCGGCACTGCGCCACTTTTCCGGCGCGCGCGGCGGTCGCGGCGCGCCGGCGGCGGTGGCGGCGCAGCGCGAGGCGGTTTTTGTCGGGCAGCGCGCGTCCCGACTGCGTCCGCCGCGACCCGAGACGCCGCTCCGCTGACGAGAATAACAATGACCACTGTGTAGTCACCCGGTCGGAGGGCCGGTCGGCCGGGACCGGCTGGCGACCGCTGAACACTGGACGGGCTGGGGTGGAGGCTGGATGGAGGTCCGGTCGGCCGGGACCGGCTGACGACCGCTGCTGAACACTGGAGGGCTGGGCTGGGGACTGGCTGGAGGTGGGCTGGATGTAAGCTGAAGGTGGGCTGGAGGATGAAGGTTGGTGGAATGCTGGCTGT